TGTATGTCAAGTTTTTTCTGGAATGTTCTTACCCTGCTGCATCTGAGTGCAGATTTTTTCTTTCTGTATGCTTGCACTTCCTTTCTCTAGCTGAGACTGTAAAGACAGAGGTTAAGGGTTTTATTCACTTGAAAAATACCTGTATTACTTGTTTGCAAGGGGTTTTACTGAGAGACAATTGTCTCAGATTGTTGTCTCAAACTAAGTGTTCGAGTACAGTGTGTTCTCATAAATTGCTGTTATGTGCAGTACTTTATGGTACTGAATATACCATAAAGTTTTAGACAAGGAAAAAATTGGAAAGAGGTGTACTAAAAAATAAACCAAGGATAGAATCTAGTACTCTTGTCTCTGAATCGTATCACTGCTCACGTAGCTAATATCTCCCTCCACCCCCCTTCCCTTTTGTGTTAGATAATTTTGAAGTGATACCAGGATGGGCTGTGAATGGGAGATGGTCAGGATTTAGGAAAAAGGCCTAGAGAGTGAACATGTCTGAAACACTGGGCACCATCTTTTTTTTTTTTTCTCCTTCCTAGTTTCCCTTCTTTCTCTGATGGATATACTGTGATCATGCTTTTTCTAACACATCATAGTGTTTCTGTAGTCTTAATACTCTCTGTTGTTTCTGGTAATATTTGGAAATGCATTAATACAAGTGTTTTAGTATTTACAACACAGTAATAATTTATAATTTTATGTAAGAGTTGAGCTTTTTTTTTTTTTTCTGGTTTTAATAATGCTGTGTAAAGAGCATACTGGGGTACCTTAATTGCTTTACAGCAAAATGGAGATGATAAGGGAATTGTATTTCCTATTTAATATATTTGCCTACACCAGTAATAAGTATCACTTTTCTGCTTTTCAGATCTTCCCATTTGGTGTTCTTATTTGTTTAAGGACACAACAGGGTGTGCATAATAACAAAGTCTAGCTATTATTTTGAAATGTGTGGGCTTGCTCTGTTAGTAATGAATTATTTCCTCTGTTTTAAAATTAAATCATACAGAAGAGATCAGCATGAAGGCTGACTGAGCATGAGGGAACTGGTGCTGCAGCAAAGTACGCAGTAGTTTACATGGAGCTGCTGCTTCTTATTTAAATCCCCCAACAGGTTTTGGAGGGATTTTGTCATATAAAAAGGATTTTTTCACAAAATTGAATGGACTGCATCAGTTCTGTGCATTTCTTAATGCATTTTATGTTTTAAATCACTCAATTGTCCAATCTGTTTTACATGCCCTCTGCAGCTTGTTTTACTCTGCAGTCCAGTGGAAACCTTGGAGTTACAAGCCTCAGTTTAAGCAAATAGTGTCCTTTTTTATACCTATAGGAATATAAAAAAAAAACCACAAGTCCACTCTCTGGGCCAGTGATTTGATAGCTGCCTTTCATCTAGTTAAATATTCTGTGCTGGGCCTTACTGAGTGCCAGACCAGGTTCAGTGATGTGTACCAAAAATAATAAAATGGATCTTTGATGGGAGGTGGAGGAGGAAATGCAATGCTTACTCAAATAGTTAAATATTTCTTCTCAATTCTATCCTTACATGTTTGGGTTTTTTTCTGCAGTACTAAAAATTCTAATTCTTACTATTGTAAACATGCTATTACTATTGTAAACATAGTTTTGGAACATGCTAACATAATTTTGGAAATGTATATGCCTTTCACCAATAAGTAGAAAAGAACTGAAGGCAAAACCAAGTTCCACTAAGGTATTTAATAGGAGCAGATAAGGGAAATGTACACGAACAGGTATTTTTAATCTGAAATAATGTGTTTTAAACAAAGCTTTTTTTCTGTAGTATTCTCCATACAATGAGGTATATTTGAGAATTCAGTGTTGTTCATGTGTCTTGATGCTTTTAAAGAGTATCAGAATATCATGATGAATATTGGAGCGCTAATGCTAAAAGAACATCCTATACTTGCATTTTGATCCATTGGCAAAATATTTTGATGTAGCTTTTAATTAAAATGAAAATACATGTCAGAGTGCTGTCATACAGTTGAATAATTGGAGCAAGACTTAGCAATGCAGAATATTAAACTATGAAAATTTTGTGAGTCTTTTATAAATACAAAATACAGATAATAAAGGATAAAGAAGAAATTTAATGATATTCACATTCTTCTGGATTCAGATTTGTTGGTGGCCTCATGCATCTTCCATAGCTGACTTCTTGGATGGACATGATGTAGGACAGATGAAAGGTTGAACAGAGTAATTCCACAGTGCTGTGTATTCCTTTCCAAATATGTTCATATGTATTTTTATTGTTAGCTGGAGAACAACTATTTTGCTTCACCTTTGGCAATATAAGAATAAGGAACTTCATGTTCATTTTGAGAAAGAAATGGTCAGCTTTTTAGTAGAAAATGCATAATATTACAGCATAACATTTGAGATGTGCAGTGTATTCAGTTTGTCTTTAAAAGAGAACCTGTCACCTTTTATGTGTCTTAGTCTAGCCACCAGCAAGATTGAATTGTTAGTACGTGGCTCATGGATTTGTATCCTAGAGATCTTTTTGCAGTAATTAATTTTGAGAATGCTAATACATGCTTAAGAAAAAAAAACACAACAAAACACACCCCCCTGAACATTGTTGAGGTGGAAGCAAGAGTGCCCCACAGCATCATGGGCAGAAGATGTCGGGTGTAATTCTCTTTCCAGATGGCACCCCTACAGGTGAGGCAGCAGCCTGTGAAATTACATTCTAAATTACACTACAGATGAGCACAGCACACTGAGCAAAAGGCTTTGGTATAAGTAATAAATGACTTGATTCAGCACCAGTGACGGTTTATGTAACTTACAGGAATGTTGTAATGAATTGGGGGGAAGATAGAACTGGGCGGGGGGTGGGGGATAAGGAATGGAGAGCCAGTGGTGCCAGAGTGGAAAGGTCAGGAAAAGGACGGGGAGAATTTTTCCCTGTATATCTCATGAGAAGGTGTGTCTCCCAGCTGTCCTCCTTGGGCTTGTTTGGCAGACATTGTAGGTAATGAGCATTTTAGGCAGGAAGAAATAAGTGAAGAGCTGACCTGTGAAAATGTCATTTTGTCACTGATTCTTGCTAGTAACTAGTTTTAAGATACATCCTAGAGGTCATATTTAAAGTACTGTGAAAACAACGCATTTTCAGTTAAAAGCATGTGAAAATAATTTTTATATACTAGACATATTCTATTTTTTATAACTGCAAGAATAAGAAAACTCTGGTTCCAGTCTGTGCTTTTGGCTTGCTGTAGGCATAAAAATAATCTTATTCAATAAGAGCTCCTGGCCTTTTCAATCCTTTTGCAAAGCTATCTAAAAATCATATTGCTCATAAAGCAGTAGCCCTCATTTTGGGACTTAGTCTAAGGACTTCATAAAAGTTAGGCAGTAAAGTGGAAGAATAGGCAACACTGGGAAGAAAAATGTCCAGTAGGGTGCTGTTCTGTTACCAGAAGAAACAGGTTAAGAAAAGGGCATTTCCATTATTTTCAAATGGGTTGAAATTGAATACAAATATGTCACACTTCACATTTCTGGTTTTCTAGTTTTATTTTTAGTTCTGAAGGCTGCAGTGGGGATGGTGATGTCTGTAAGCAATTCTGAACTTCCAACATTTTTTATTCTAAGAGCCTCAGACAACATAAACACCCAAGATGGCATGGACTTGAAGTAAATTTGGCAGTGCAGTTCCCATGCAATGCTGTAGTCACACGATGACTTCAAAAATAAAAAATAAATGTAAATGAATAACTTCTATGATTGTACAAACATGGAAGTGGAGGAAAGATGAAGGAAAACAGCATTTCAGCTTTGCTTTGTTTGGATACTGCTGACGGGGCTTGCAGGACTGTAGGACCCACGTCTGGACTTCCGGTTGTCATTTTTGTTCTTTCCAACTGGCAGTCAAGGTATTAATCACGCCATACAGCTAAGCTGTGTTTTAAGCAAAATCAGAATTAGTATGCTAAGTGAAAATTTAAAATGTACACTGGTATGATTTGTCTTAATTGATTTGCTGTCATAGTAATGTATGTGTGCGTGAAATGTTTGAGTATTAAGAATAAGGGTCATACTCAAACTTGGAACACAGGAAGAGTGTAACATCAGGAAATCAACTGGAAAACAAAGGGCTGTGTATCTCATAGAAATCTGTTTACCTAAAAGTGGTCAAGAAGCCAGTTTTTTGCTATAAAATGCTAATTGAATGTAGTGCTGTATGCTTTTTATATCTCAGAAGTGTGAAATGAAGGAATTTTTTTCTGTTGAAGAAAATGGCTGACTCAATTATGTTTGCAGTAAGTTATTCTAAACATCTATAACAGAATTATTAACCTGCTCTAAAATCACAACAGCAAAAAGTATGCAAATCTATTTCTAGCTATTTTTTTCCTGAGAATTTTTTACGTTCAGGTGCTCCTAAATGATGTAGAACATCAGACAACCCATGCCTGTGGTATATTATTTATTTTCATGTGTCTTAGTGAGAATTGCCCAGGCTGGTACAGGGCGCTGCAAGGTTGCAAATGTGAAGTAGCAAAGATTGATTCCATTTGGTGTTTCTCTGGCAATGATTTTCATGTTATTTGCAGTTTAAGGTTGGAAGGGATTTTATTGGACTTTTGTGCATGGTGCTTCAGATTTCTTATTAAAAAATCCATGCATGCAGCTTTTCACTTGGTTTGAGGTGAATTTTAGTTTCTTTTGATGTTGTAGGATGCTATCAGGTACTTGTTGTAGATGGATATTGACTGCCTATAGTTTATTAATTTAGTAGGTGCTAGATAGTTGCAGTTTGGGAAATTAAAGATGGTACTTTATGCAACTAGAGTTTGGAAACAAAAGTGATGACAAAGTCACTGGATGCTGCCTCTTATTGAAGTGTATGGTCATATAAAGCTCTTAAACTGCATTGATAAAGTCTGTCTGTAGCTTGATTAAATAGGCTACATAAGGAGCATAATGATTTCTAAATTCTTTCCCTTTTCTATAAACAGGGTTATTTCCTTCTCTTTGAGTCAATGCTGGATTCTGTCATCTATGCAAAGGACAAGTACCTGGCAGAGGGAGGCTCAGGTTGGTCCTCATAATTCTTTTAATAAATTTAGCTCTGGGGGGAAACTAAATGAACTCAGAGATGTAGAATAGGCTATGCACGGATGAGAAAGTTGCCAGTCTAAATGAAAAATGTTTCCATTAGTATGAGCTGCAAGGCATTAATTTACTATATGGGTAATAGAAGAACATTAGATGGGGTATCAAGGTCTGAAGTTAATGATGTTTTGAAGAATAGAGGGGGTTATTTATTCTTAAGTATACTCTGAATTTTCCCTCCCTACTTCTTCCCACACATTTGGGCATTTGTTTTCCCCTCTCAAAATCCCAGTTTCTACATAGCTATGAGTAGAGGAAAATAAGGTCTATTCTATAAGGTGTGATACTGTTTGAGTGAGCTACTAGTATGAGAGGAAGAATGGATAGGATATTTTCCTGGAGGAGGGAAGTGCCATGAGGAGGACATAGTTACAAGCACAAATAGCTACATGCAATGACTAATGAAATTACACTGCTTCAGTTTAGCATGTTTATTCTATCCTCCTGGAAAGATACCAGATTTCTTTGTGGTTGGAGGGCTGGGAATTGACAGAACAAAATGTTTAATTTTGAAGTAGAATTCTTCAGTCCTTTTTAAGTAGCTTAGATAGTGTCATCTTAAATGCCTGTAAATATTTTTTCTTCATGTGATGCCATTTTCTGTACAAGTCTTATGTGTGCTTTATTCTTTGTGCTTAATTCCTTTGTCAGTATTGTATTTCATATTGACCTTTTCAATCGTAGTCATCAGTCTGGTGGGTTTTTTCCCTTTTGTGCTAACCATGCACATAGTTAGTCTCACTACACTGACTTAATGATTGGATTAATGGCAATGTAACAGTGCTTGCTGCAGTGCTTCCCTTTGATTGCAGTCAGCTTTTGTATGCTAAAGAGTGCAGCAGAAAAAAGGGGGTTTATGCAATTATGCAACATTTGGTCACAAAGCTGAATGTATGAGCAAGAGATTACTGTTAATGTGTTAAAATATTTAGGAGCTGCTTAAATAGTATGACAGAAGAGCTTTTTTTGTTTTCAGTACTGTCCAGCCAGATCCAGACCACAGCTGTGGTGTGCTCTGTATAGATATATGCTGATAATCTTACGTGGCATTATAATTGAATTTGGAGAAATCCCTTTAAAATGGCAAGGAATTATTTTTTTTGCTACTTCCAAAGCTTTCTGAAAATGGCAAAAAAAAATCTTGACTATTGAAACTGCAATAGTATCTTGTTCTCTATTTGTATTGTTGGTAAGTTTGCTGTTGCTTTGTGCCTCTCAAAGTTGCCTTTGAGAGTCAGGGTATGCAGTACACTTTGGGGTCTGTAAATGGCCTTAGGCCTGTATTTGGCTCTTTACAAAGCATACAGCATTGTACCTTCCCCAGTGGTGTGGCCAGATTTTAAATGGAATGCTGCTTCCTTGATATGTTTACAATTAGTGCTCTTCTGCCAGCTTGTATAGCAGATAAGTGGCTTTGCCTGAGATTCCTGGGAAGGATTCTCAGCAACCAGTTTAGCAAGATGGACACTTCTGTAGTGCAGATGCATAGGACACGTCCAAATTCAGATGAGCTAAAAGTAAGAACTCTTTCTGAGGTGAAGACTTACCAGAGAAACTCCTGAATCCTCCATGAAGCTTATTTTTGTCTCAAGCCACTTTTTATTATGGAGCCCAAGATCATTATTACAGGGAATGTTCAAAAGCTGAAAAAAAGCTGTAAGAGCAGCTACAATGTGGCCAGATCCTTTGGTGACTGAGCCAGGAATGGAATCCAAATTTTTAGATTTGTGTTCAGTCAGTCATATCATTACTTCAATTTAGCCTATTGGCATGCAAAGTGGTTTATACCAAACTGTCTAGGGTAATGTGTACAGTATATAATAGCTTTATTTGGGAACATAAAATTGTCACTGCCCAGGACCCATCTGTTCTTTAGAACTTGAGTGTAGATTTTTGCATGCACTGCAGGTGACATAGGTAAGGAAGGCATCATTCTAAAGGCAATACTGTTTGCTTGTTCGCATGAGAATGCTGATGGTATTCACTTGGAATGATTTCCCTGTATCTGGAGGATTGCTGCCTTACCCTTCAGTGTCCTGAGGTTTGTGAGGCAGTGCTAAGAGATAAAGGATTTCCCATCATATTGTGGTTTAGCACGTGAGCTGTACCTAGTGACAGATGACTTGTGGGCACTGAGTCGAGAAGGACACAGATGGTCAAAACGATGAATCTGGGAGAACACTGAGGAGTATGTGCTTTTGTCCAGTCAGCATTTTGTTCATTTCACTTGTGAGAAGGAATAATTATTAAATTGTAGGCTTAATAAGAAAGAAGATGACAAGTCTTGTCAGGATTGCACAGGAATGTGTTCCAGGGTTGCAGAAAGAGCAGAGGATTTCCAGGGGGGATCGAAGATAGTGGGTGAAATGACTAATGCCATTTTAAGCAGTTGCTTTTAAACATTCACAAAACTCTGCTGCATTGAGGTGACTTAGGCTAATGTTAAGATAACATGCTTACATTCCCAGTCAAACTTCAGTTTAGCATGTGTTTCTTGGTGTGGGCGGGTTAGTAAATTTGTCACTTCATGTGTCTCTGTAGTCTTTTACCTGTGCCCCTGTTGGTCAAACACAGATTTCTTGTTGTGAAGTCTGAGAAGGTATTGCTTACTTTTTTTTTGCTATTGATAGGCTAAAATAAAAAGATTATATTACAGCATTAGTGTTTACCTTTTTGCTTGTTCTTAAGCACTTTGTATAATCGATCATGAGTTCTGCTGCTGGCTTAAGGATTTGCTGGGTGGATGAAGAGATTTAATAAAAACTGATTATGGCTCCACTCAGATATTTCACACTTTATAGCTGTGGTAATTTTTTTTCCCAGAATATCCCAGAAATGTGGGCTAGTCTTAGGAACGAAGGTTATAAAGTAGTTGATCGCTTTTTGCTGTGGTTTTCATTTTTGTTTGCAACATTGGTAGCACAATCCTGTGTGTTCTTTAATTAGAGACTTTCAGTGTCTCTTTACTCCTTTTCTCACCATACCCCTTCCATGCTATGAAGAGTATTTCCCTGAAATACATTCCCTCAAAGGCTGTAGTCACTTGATTTTGTTGCCTGTTTCACCTTGTCTTTTAATTTTTGGAGCATCGGTGATGGCTCTTGAAGGTTTAAAATGCTGGGAGGTAAAGCCACATACAATGCAGTTATCACACTAGTAAATAGGAATATGAAAGCTTTGAGAGGTGGAAATCCTTTATTGATGGCTCCAGAAATCACTTGCAAATAGTCCTACCACCAGATGTTAATTCTGTATGTTTTTGACAGCTGTCAGGTGCAGTGGAACCAAATGGTTTGTTTCAGACAAGACACTTTGAACACTTTTCGGTTTTGATTCTCATCAAAGTGCCTTTTTAATGCTGAGTTAATTGTAGGCTGTACCTGGAGAAACCTTTTGCTTTGATTTCCTCATTTGTAAAGGAAGGATGATGGTAGCTTACCAGTGGGACTCAAAGCTTGCTGGTATTTATTTATTCAAATAGTCAGAAAGTGAGAAAAATGGCAGTGTTTGTATTTTGTATAAACTAGTAATTCTAAATGTAGAGATGATTGTTTCCTTTAATGTCTTCATATGGAAAAAAAAAAAGCTTATTTAGAGAAGACTCTTCTTTGTCATTAATATGTGTAAAATTATTTCCTTTAGGCTAATTCCACTCTCACTATATGAAAGGTCTAAAAGGCAAAAAAATACTGCTCTCCTGACTTAGTATCCTATACCAATGTTTTTTCCATATTCATTGTGACAAGGTACAATTTCAAGCAGAGCAGAAGACAAAATTAATTTTACAGTTCACCTGATTTTGGGGAGGAAGGGAGAAACTTAGCTTCAGTTTTTATTTGCACTGTCATGTCTATGTACCAATAAAAAATCAAATAAGGTGTTTATTAGTAGGCATTTGCTCTGAAGCCAGAATAATAATTCAACTTATGTGGCTTTAAAACCAAAAAAAATATTATTTATTTTGTGGAAAGAAACCTAGGTAAATATAAACTGAGTTTCTCTTACTATTTGTTAGTGCTATAGACAGCCATGTTCATAGCAGCTGTTCTTTCTGTCTTTTCCAGTCAGTAGTAGATAGAGATTGCCAAGAGATTGACTGGCTTGGCTGTTGGCAGCTGCTAAAAAGGCTCATGTCAGTCTTCCACTACCATTTTGAAAAGCTGCAAGTAGGTACTTGTCCTGAAGATACTCTTGGGAAAAAATAGAGCACAAATGTGCAGGCAGTGTAAGAGCAATGACTGCCATTGCAAAACTTTGTGGGGAGTTAATGAAGAAGTTCTCTTCTGTCTGTTGGATCACTTCCTTACTCTTCAGATGCAAACAGAAGCATGGTTATTCTTTTCCAGTACCCAGAAATAATTTTTTAGGTTATAAAGCAAGTACCAGCCAGAGCTGAATGGAACTCCTGAGAAAGAATATTTGCTCATTTCTGGAATGAATGTCTTTTCACAGAGGTTTCTTGTTATTGCAAAGCCCTCACCTGAATTTTCTTTTCAGTGTCTGTCTACAATTATTACATACTCTTTAGATATGAGTCAGTATAGAAGCCAAAATAGGATGTTCCAAAGTATTTTCTTCAGTTTCATCAAGTTTCCACTCTTTTCTTGGCAGGGGGCTTCAACTACAAAGGTGGTTTTTTTTTTGTCCTCAGCA